CCCCCCCCTCTAACGACCCCATAACCCGCCCATTGGGCCCCCCTACTGCTGGTTGAACTAGTTGAAAACGAAGTGAATGAATGACCTGGTTAAAATTAGGACCCAAAAGAAACGTCTTGTTGTTGATTTTTTATGTACTGATCCTTCCGCACACGTTTGATAGCTTTGCGTTCTTCCGCCCACTTGTAATCGAGCATTTGTAGCGCGTCTATTTCGCGAGGATCGAACTGAACCGGTGACACTAAAGCAGCCGATTCGCCCTGTTCGGACACAATTTTGAAATATGGGTCAGAAACTGGATTACCGTTCTTGGCAATCTCCTTTGGAGTGTGCCTCATGTACAGAGCAAGCCCAGGATCGTTTGCGTAGTCCACGTTTTCAATGGCTTTCCTCAAAGCCTCCCAACGATTAAATAGACTTGCCGTAAACACCTTCACCAGCTTCTCCCGCTTGAGGGGGTTTTTCTCTTGACTCACCAACAACAGCCTACGATTCATTGAATCGTCGGGCTTCTGTTGTTGACCTTGCACGTATCGACCTTGTGGATATTGTCCTCCTTGCATATAATGTCCTCCTTGGACTTGATTCAAATTGTTGGGGTACGGTGGCCAGGGTCTTCCTTGAGGTCGGCCATCTGTATAGACTAGAGGAGACGTGGCATACGCCGTCCTTTCCGGCCCGCTTTTAAAATGCTGCTGCGAGTCATCAGAAAGACGGGTCTGATAACGAATAGGCTGGTGATTAACCTGACGATTGACCCAACTAAACGTCGCCGGTAAACCCGGGTCCAGGTGAGCACCTATCAATACCATCCATCCACCACATAGCCGCTTCGATTGATGCCCGACCCGCATCCTTAGTGAATATATGTCTTTAAAAATGTCCCGAGAGGGATAAATAATTCCCCCGTTCCTGAAATTACGGAACAAAAACAAAACCAGCTCACGTCTGTGGCCTATTAAATGCTCGCCTCGACAAAGAAAATATACGGGACACGAGGACGACCGATAGGTGTGGTGAGCCAAGCCAGGTTGGCTGATGGCGCTTGCTGGCATCGTCTTCCCAACAATTCTTGATCGGCGCTGTTCTGGCGCAAACGAAAAGTGTTGACCGGAGGCGACTTCGTCGGTCGATCCTAGGGCCGAGTTAAAGAGCCTCCACGGCTGAAGTGGCGCTCTCGCTGCCTTCGATGTCCACAGTCTCTTCAATGTCCACCGTCTCCGGCTCCTCGACGGCCGACTTCATCTGGGGCTCTGTCTCAGTTTCTTCTTCGGTTGCTGGTGGCGGTTTGGGCACGGAGGCTGGTTTGACCACAGGGGTCGCGTTATCAGCTTCGTCATCGACGTCGCCGGCTTCATCACCTGGTGTCACGATGGAGGTTCTGCTCGCCCCAACGTGTTCGATGGCAGCCTGTTCGGTGGTAGCGTGTTCGGTAGCAGCCTTTTCGGTGGGATGGTCGGGTGCGGAAAGGGGTTGTTCTGCGGGGGCGGGTAGGTCGTCAGGTGCGGCTTTTTCTGGAGTCGGGGAAAGGTCTGTCTGTTTCGGGTCGGCCTGGTCGTTAAGTGTAGACAACTTCGTTTCGACGAGTTTGGAGGCGGTGACAGAGGTGCGTCTTTTTCTAGGTGAGTCTGCTTCGGAGAGTCCGTGTGCGAATACGAGTACGAGTGCCTGTCCATCTTTCATGTAGCCTTCCGTGGCCTCTTCGGAGAGCGGGGTAACAGTAGTAGCATTTTGATTAACGAGTAGTAGACACTGGCCGGCTTCGATGCGGTAGTCTACATCGTTGACTTTAATGAGGCCGCATCCAGCGAGACAGAGTACCTCGGCAGGTGAGAGGTCTTGACCTTCGTTGGGTGTGGGGGTCTTGATAAGTTTGCTCAAGTTAAGCGGCTTAGTGCTGTGGGCGGCCATTTTGAGGATGGACATGGCGAAGGACTCGGTATAGTGAGGTTCAATTTGCATAAGTTGATATGCATCAGTTTCCTCACATTCAACCTTCAACGGGGCAGGAGTATAACGGGTATAGTTAGTCAGCTCCACAAGCTTTTTTGTGTCCTGAAATTTGGGTGTAAGACCTGCACGAATCACGTTATCAGAACACTTCATAATCTCTAAACATTCGCCAGACAAATAAGCATGGATAGTGTTCGCCGCAATACCCATCGGCTGTCCAGGCTTCACGGTGTGCTTCGCCAAGAGGAACGCAGCGAAACAGCCACGATCTGTTGGGTACTTCTTCTGCAAGTCGCAAAAGGTCGCGAAACATGATGCCACTAATCTCTTGTTCGCTTCACCAGAACTCGAGGAACCACCGCCAAAGCTGGACATAAATTCACGTAACATAGGCTTCTTCGGCTTCTTCACCTTACTATAATCCACCTCTTCCACATTCAGCGCCAATGTCTGCTCAATGGCGGTCTCAATCTCCTTCTGGTCAACCATGTAAAACTGAGTCATCAAATACTTCAAAAACTCGCCTTCAGAAATTCCTGGGCTTTGACTACTCCCCCACAAACTCTTGTCATCAGACGCCTTGCCTGCGTGCACTCCCTTGCTGACTTTTGCCATCATGGTCTCGCCAATCAGACGCGCAATAAAAGGAACCACTTGCGCAATGCAGTAAATTTCTCTTGCTTTCAAGAAACCACAAAACATCTCAAAGTTCTCCGAAAGAGGAATGCACATCTCTGGCTTGTCATACGGGTCCGTGTAATGCTCTGGGTCCTCCTCGTGAAGCACCTTGGCCGTCTCGCGGTCGGGATGTAACTGGAGCGACAACGGCGCAGCTATAGACAAAACCTTCATCAGGAACGGAAGACCCTTGCCCTGCACAGAAAGCACATTGTCCATGCTGCGCTCTTCGAAGCGCTCGTCTTGCACTATCTTCGCAACCGTCGCCGGCCCATTTGGATGCGCACCCAGCCACAACTCCGCCTTCGGGACGTCAGCCTCTTCACAGACTATGCCTTGACGCTCGCTAAAGAACTGGACAGCACAGTCCTTCTCCTTAGAGCCCCAAGCATATGTCTTCACTACCCCCTTCACGGCGAACATGAAAAAATATCGACAGGAAATTACAAATATGTGTTGGCGAGCGCGCGCGCGCGCGCACGCGCGCTTTCGCCCCCAATTGTTTTCGGATTGCCGCCAGCACAACGGCCATCAGCGCTTGGCATAGGTTACGTGGACGCCCTTGTTCTCGCCCGACTTGGAAATGGACTGGAGGGCGGTGCTAGCGTTGTCGACAGTGCGGAAATCAACGAACGCGACTTTTTTGGCCTCGATGTAGCGCACTTTTTCGAACCCAGCGAAGTTGGCGAAGAGGGCTATGAGGTCACCTTCCTCCATGCCGTCGGGGACGGAGTCGCAGAAGAGGATTCGGTGCGGTTCGGCACCGACAGTGGGCGCGTCGATCTTGGCCCGCTTTTCGTTGGGCTTGGCTAGGGACAGACTGAAGGATTTGCGCTTGCCCCGTTCCTCGGCGCTAGCCGCCAAGGACCGTTGGTACTCAATCAGGTCTTGCTGCAACTGCAAAAACTCCTGCTGCAACGCGCGCTCTCGCTCCTGGATTCCGAACGGTTTGCGGCTACTCGGGTCGCTGCTCGCCGCCTGCTGCTGACGCCCAGTCGACACTTCTTCCTTCCGCTTGTCGTCATGCACCCAACTCTCCTTCCGGGCAAAATTCACTCGCATCGGCTTGCCTGAGTACAGATACCCCTGCATATCCGTTACTGCCCGTTCGGCGCTCTCCAGATCCTTGAAGCTAATGAATGCCTGGCCTCGCCTCCAGAAGCTCCGCAAGGCTGAGAAGTCCACAATATCACCAAATTTGCTAAACAAGGCACGCAAATCCTCTTCCAACTCTGCAACAACACGGTAAAGGGTGGCAACTCGGCGATATCAACATAGAACCAAAATACCACCACCATGGGGAACCCATGTGATAGGAAACCACGGGATGAGAAACCCACGCAACGAGGACCCAGGCAACAGGGCTCATGTAATGGGGAGCCATGAGATGGGGAACAAGACAATGTGGAATAGTGGTAACAGTGCAGTGTGAGCAGAATTTCTGCGAAGAGAACAGTGCTGTAGCAAACAAGTATGAAGCAAACATGTAGTACTTATGGGGTTAGTTTTCTCATTGAGGTTATTGACATATATAGTCCGGCTTGGCGGTAGTAGTTCAACTTGTTTGTTTTGCTGAATGTTCTTTTCCGGTCTTGTTAGCTTCATGACCAGTCCCATCATTCGAGACATGAGCTTTTCACCTTCAGCGTCGTGGGGTCCGTATTGGCCGAAGTCGGGGGGGGGTATTAACTGAGCACCTCCGTGATTCATCGTAGGGACCACAATAGCAGGAGGAGTCACTCCGGGTGGTGGCGGTGGGGGTTGCATTTTTGTATTGGTCGCTTGTGTTATGGGGCCGGCGGGCGAGAGGTCTTTTTTTATTGAGTGATGGGGCATTCGAAGTCACCCGACACGTATATCCTGGTCGAGACCGCTGCTGGTTACTGCTTAGGATATATAAAGGAATGGGATGCAGTGAATGCGGATGTCATCTCGAGTGAGCTCCGAGACCCAAGCAAGTAAGTCTCCTGGTTGCGGGGTCTTCTTACACTGTATGCGGCTCATGCAGTGTATGGAGGTGGGTTACTCGTATGTCGTAGGCGGGTTACTCGTACGTCGTAGGTGGGTTACGAGTATGTAGGGACTGTAAGGGTAACCCACCTACGAGTATGTAGGGACTGTATGTGTGGGTTGGTATTCTTCATCTTTATCGTTGTTAGGTTCAAGCAGATGATACAGAGCAAGGGCTTCTATCCTTTTAAGGACGCAGAGGAGGCGTTGGCTAACATTCAGTCGGTTGCTCGAGGGGATGCATCTGAGCAGTTGGTGGCATTTCTTTCGAGTACATTACCAAGTAAGAAGAAGAAGTATCAATTGGGTGTATTGGATAATGAGTTGGCTAAGGCATTGTCAAAGTGTGATTTTAATGTGTTTCATGGGAAGGATGTGTTTGAAGTTGTAAGGACATGTCGTCAGAATCTTAAATCCTTAGTTGCGAGTTTGGAGGCCCCGATTATCCATCAATTCCAGATTGGTTTGGGACACTCTTTTTCTCGGTCGAAGATTGCCACAGACCCGGCTCGACAAGATAAGCATTGTCAGCAGGCGGTGGCTACGTTGGAGTTGAGTGAGAAGACAGTGAACAAATTGGCTATGCGATTGAAGGAGTGGTATGGGTGGCACTTCCCCGAGTTGATTAAAATTGTACCGGATAATCTCAAGTTTGCACAGACTGCATTGCACATTGGTAGGCGGGATGCATACGACTGGGAAGCTGGGAAGCTCAAGCTCTTGGAGATTCTGGACAACTCGGAAGCTGTTGTAAGCGAACTTGAACAAGCCTTCAAGATGAGCATGGGACAGGACATTGTAGAACTCGACTGGATGAATATCAAGGACGCCGCCGAGCAAGTGGTTAGCTGGCATGGCTTGCGGTCGAACGTGGGCGACTATCTAAGCAACAAGATGCGGCTTGTCGCGCCTAATCTGCAGGCATTGGTAGGAGACCAACTTGGAGGCAAACTCATTACTCAGGCTGGGAGTGTAATTCACCTGGCTAAGGCTCCGGCATCCACCATCCAGATATTCGGTGCGGAAAAGGCCTTGTTCAGGGCCCTGAAATCCAGAGGACCAACTCCCAAATACGGCCTTATCTTTAACTCGGGCTTTATTGGAAAAGCTAGTTCCAAGAATAAAGGAAGAATTTCGAGATACCTAGCCAACAAAATCGCGCTTGCTTCAAGAATGGACGCATTTGGAGAAACCACCGGCACATACGGCGAGTCATTCCGACAACAAGTCGAAGACAGACTCAAGTTCCTCACCGAAGGCGTGACCCCCATGAAGAATCTCGAAGTTATGCGAATTGCCGCTGACCGGGCCAAAATTGCTGCCCAGGAATCGCCAGCTATAGTTCACACCAAAATCGACGTCCCTGGTCCCATTGAAGAGCCATCCGCCCCCATTGATGCCAAGAAGTCCAAGAAACACGTTTCCGTGAAAAAAGAAACCAAGAAAGATAAGACGGATAAAAAAGACAAGCATCGAGGAAAAGACGACGAGGAGAAGAAGAAGAAGAAGAAAGGTTCCAAAAAGGCCGAATAGATAACACCCACCCGCCCCCTATTTTTTTCTGTTGCAATTTATCCTCTCGCAATGACTATCATCATCATCATCATCATCACATCGCTAGCGCTTTTTATTTTTTCTTTGCTGCCGTCGATAATAGGTTGACTCATCCCCGAGGTTGAAACAATCCACATAGACCACAAGACAATTGACTGGATCGTGACCGAATTCATCCTTGAACATCTCTTCCACAAATTGCTTCCATTGCGAATAGCTTTCGCGTCCGGGGGCCATTGCTTGAACACACACAGAATATTCCTTCTGTCGATCTATTAATTCGGGGAAGCCGTTAACCTGGCGACTTGTAATTTCGGCCATGACCTTCTTAGTACGCTTCACGGCCTCGGCCTGGTCAGTGGTGTAGTCTGGAAGCGTCTCCACAGAGAGTTCGTAAACCACGGTCTGCTTTCCTGATGGCCTCACGGGAAGTAAAATCTGATCCATACTATCCACATATGGAAATTTCGCGGGGTCGCTGCTGGACTCACCCATGGATTTTTGCTTACGGGCCAAGTCGCTGCTGAGCTCGATAGAAATGACAGCAACTGCCCGCGCCAGAAGCGTGCTGTTCTTCAGCAGAGTCGACAGCGGGCAGCGCAGCTTCTCCTGCTCCTCGACGGTGAGCGTTTCGATTGTTCCTTCTCCAAGGGGAACACCGTTCAAGGTTACTTCCTCACGGTCGACGGGGAGTGTCGGGTAGCCCCACTTGGTACCACACGAAACGAGCCACCGTGGAGCGGCAAGCGCCCCTAAAGAGCCTAACGAAAGCACACTATTGCTTGCACGCAAACTCTTCGTTTACGGGTTCTAAAATTAAAATTAGAACCTACCGTACGCTGAACACCTGCGATTCTATCAGGACGACATATTCATAGCTGCTGACAACTACCGAGAGTTGAACCAACGATACAACCGCACCAAACAACATCTAACGACCTATGGCTTCAAAGTCAACCCGCAGAAAAGCCAACTACGTTGTACGAACATACTCGGATACGAACTACTCAACCACACACTGACCATACCGACAAAGAAATGGCAGACCATACAACACCTGATAGATACCAACTTACACGCCAACATTACTCGGGCTGCGCAAATACTACAATACTACAAGCATGCACTAACTACAGCTCAACAAAGAATCGTCACTAAGCTACTGCAACAAAAAGTCAAAGA